CCCTGAAATTTGCCTTAGCACAAAATAATAACAATTTATTGTGATTGTGTCAATGTGCTTCTCTTTACTGGTACTCAAAAACTTCTACTATTGTGTCATGCGTTGCAGGTTGTCCTGCCGGCAATGTACTTTGTTCCGGGGGATGACGCCCATGGGAGCTATGAGAACAGCTTGGACGCCCTTGTGCAGATGGGAAACAACGTGGAGCTGCTTGTCATGTGCCTGCTCTACCTCATCTCCATCGCCTTCTACAACTTTTTTGGTTTGGCCATCACACGTTCTTTGACAGGTCAGTTTGTTTTAAAAAAGTATTTCTCCAGAGTTAGAATTAAAGCTAGACAGAGGCTGTTTTTAGCTTAGTTGGTATCATGTTGAGCTATATTGCTGTGGATGACCATGGTTTATATCCTCAATGAGAGGGTTCTTGAAGTATGATTGTATGGGTAGCTTATAGGGCTCTCCACGTACTTGCAGGGATGCTGTTTTCCCAATTCTTTTTCTCATTATTTTAAGTTATTATTCCCAGCATTAATTTTTTTTTTCTTTTACCACATTATGGGTCTGTCTGTTATCTGTCTTTTTATTTGTAAACACAGCTTTGCAAATCTTCAGTTATTTTCACAAAGTCCTAATAGCATATTTGTTTTGGGTCTGAAATGACATTACATTTGTTTTTACTTTTCAGCTGTGCACAGAACTTTGATTGATGCTTGTAGAACCATCATTGTGTGGCTGGCTGCCCTTTTCATTTATTACGTGGTTGACAAGGTAAACTTCTTTTATGAAGTTGGTACTGTATATGATAGTGTTTGTTCGGTGCTTTTAATATGTTATATTCTCTGAGAATGATGTTAATGACTTAGTCGGGTTTTTTTAACAGCTAATCTTTGATTAATGGAATTGATTGCTTTCAGTTGGCACATCAATTAATTTTTTTTTTCTGACTGCCATTTGGCTTTTACATTTTAAAATTATTGAATACTTGCATTGATAGTTTATTTTTAAAATGATTTGTGTGCATTTTAAAATTATTGAATACTTGCATTGATAGTTTATTTTTAAAATGATTTGTGTGCATTTTAAAATTATTGAATACTTGCATTGATAGTTTATTTTTAAAATGATTTGTGTGCATTTTAAAATTATTGAATACTTGCATTGATAGTTTATTTTTAAAATGATTTGTGTGCATTTTAAAATTATTGAATACTTGCATTGATAGTTTATTTTTAAAATGATTTGTGTGCATTTTAAAATTATTGAATACTTGCATTGATAGTTTATTTTTAAAATGATTTGTGTGTCATCGTGGTGAAATCATGCTTTTGTCAAAATAAGTAAATGGGAGAACCTTTTTTGTTGGGATCGGAAATGTAAATCTTTCCAGTGAAAGTATGAGATAACAATTTTATGTCTGATGTATTTTCAGTCTTTTGGAGAACCCTTTGACTCAAACTACGGACTTCTGCAGAGTAAGTAGTCAGAAATTCAGTGTATAGAATATTTCACGTTGCCAGCTAGCAATATTTACTTTTCACTTCTGTTGATGTGATTTCAGTAACAACTAATTCTAGGTCAATAAGCTTCAGTGTTTGAAAAATATTAAACTGATGAAATTGCAAGAATTATGTAAGGCTGGAAGTATGAGATCTTATTAGCAGTGTAAAAAAACTCAATGTAAGGCCTATAGAAAATTAAAGATTACTGTTGTATACTTTCGAAATTCTTGTAAAGAGAAAATGATGTCAACATAATGAATAATTTCTCTGAATGTGGAAAGTGAATAATACTGAGCAGACTTCCTCCTTTCTGATACTCTAGTTCAGCTGTCGATAATTGGGTTGTCCGTTTTTGTTCATTACAGTGAATTTAGCTTTTGTTTGTTAATTTAGAGACTGGTGTCTGTGGTGTAGCAGTTGGACAGTTCGCTGTCTCATGCTGGAGACTGGAGTTCTAATTCTGAGTGGGAAGAATTTGTATCGAGTATATCGGTCTTTCTGCTGGGATGTTGAATTCCTCTCAGGTTGGGTTGAAGTCCATCTATTAAATGATCTAAATTGTGTCAATGGGGGTGGAAAAACACCTACATTTGAAAAAAAAAAGAGAGAAACGTTCAATCTACTTTAGGCTGTTGTGTGAATGGATATGCCTTGAACAAACATCTGTTCTGCAGATGTCATATCTTCACCTGATATGGCCAATGGTACAGTTTTGTGCAGAAAAGGCCTGAGAATCTGCTTTGGTGGCCTTTGGCATGTCATGGCATAATTCTTACCATTGTAGGAGAGTTTTCTTCTTGTTTGTGTACACTTGTCTATGGAGTCTTTCTGGCCTGCTTTGTTGGAACTCAGAAATACAGATCACAATGCTGAAGGCTTGCTGATGTATCCTTGAATAAAGATCATCAAATTAGAATTAATGCAAGGAATCTCTTTTCCGGCATTTCAGTTGACGGCTTTGCGTTCCTACTGATTGGTACAGCGCTCTACAACCAGTTGATGGTTGTTCCCTGCATGCCATGGTGCTCCAGAGACCAGGAGATGGAGGTGAGCTGTAGATAACATTGTTGCTTGGTTTCGTGCTAGTGTTAATGTCTCTTTCAACTCTTTTTTGGGCTCACTGAAGAAATGTGAATTTTAGATTTGTTTTATATTCTAAATAGGTTAATGAAAGAAAGTGCCAGGAATATTTTTATAATGACCTTTGGTCTCAAACAAATTCAAATTTTCATTACTGACAACTTAATTAATTTTCTTTAAAAATGTGCTAACTTGTCTGACTGGATTAGAAATGACTTTGTATAAAAAATCTTTGCTTGCTCTGGTTTTGGCTTTTTCACAATGAAGACTTTGTAGAGAGCTATCAAGCTGATGTTATCTTGTTGAATGTAATAGTAATTGGTTGAACATTTATATTTTCCAACAGTATATGTCCTTTCTGTCTGTCATCTTGTTATTCCTTGTGTCTCCATAACCACTGTTTAAAAAATGGAAAAGTAAATGAAATGAATGAAATTCCACTTTTATTGACCTCTCCTGTGGAGAGCCAACATTTTGGTATAACTCATGTATTCATCGGGTAAGATGTACCAATTGTTTACACCCCTTTTGGGACATTAATTTGGACATTATTTTTTTCCTTTTGAACCCAACAGTCAGTTTAGGTTTTTTTCCATCTACTGAAAAATCAAGAACAACAGTGAAGTGTTGTTTCTCATGGCCTATCGTCTTTACGCTCACTATTTGTTGCCTATGCATCCTACTCTGGGGTGCTCTGTTTGCACAGCTCTTGAACTCAGAGTATTTTGTGAAGTTTTCAAGGCTTTCAACCCATTTGGTTTGGTCCTATCGGATATGGATGTTAAATTTGGATGTCCCGCCTCCTAAATAACCACCTAATAATGTTGATAGGAGCAATAAACCCACACACTTACTAATCTACTGTGGAATGGTGTGCCATGTCAAAATGCATCAGCGTTTTGTCCATGTTTCCTATTGAGACAATGTCATGTACAAACTTTTTAAACAAATCGATGAATTTTGCTTCTTATGGTTAAGATGTACTTTGAAGCCTATACACAATGAAAAAGGTTATTAATACACTTGATCACTTCTATAAACACAATTAGTATTCCATTACCAATCTCCATTATGGGGCAACTTGATTTGAGCTAGAGTTATTGTGTCCTGCTCGGCCATTGGAGATGAGATCCTGCTCAGCTTGTCTTTGAAGAGTATCTAAATGTTGTTTATCCTAAAAGCATGTGTTTTTGTCATGCGAGAGAAGGAAAGTCTACAACCAATTGCCTTATTTGTCTCGTCTACACTCTATATTATGTATCCTCTCTCAATGACACTAGCTTTTGTGTTTTGAAATTGTGAGAAAAGTGGATGTCTTAGACAGGTGGATGTCTTGGACAGTCTACAACCAATTGCCATATTTGTCTCCGTCTACACTCTATATTATGTATCGTCTCTCAATGACACTAGCTTTTTTGTTTTGTAATTGTGAGAAAAGTGGATGTCTTAGACAGGTAGATGTCTTGGACAATGTTATTGTAATGTAAGAAAGCACAAGGGGTAACTGGAAACAGGTGGCCAGTAGAGTAAGTTTGGGCTATGGGTCGGCGTGTGTCATCAAATAAATGTTTCTACACAGTACAATGAAGTCATGAAAACATTTTCACACTGCTCTGTGTGGTTTTTTTTACAGGAATTCCCATCTCCAGTGACCCCACAAGTAAATGTTGCTGACTATGAGGAGTCCTACAACTCTATATCAGATGAGTCTGATCCTCTGCTGAGAGCCAGAGATTCAAACATAGTGTATTCCTAATTTGTATACATAATGTCTCAGCAATTGAGTTTGTGGATATATTTATTATTTTATTTGACTCTATAAAGGAAACAGTGTACATTCTGTGTGTAGCATGTTCTGTTTTTAACAGTGAAACTGCAATGGCAATGGGTCAACGTGTGTCATCAAAGAAGTTTTACTATGTAATGGAAGGGTATGCCGAACTTAATTATGTCATATTATATTTTATTTTCCATTATTGGCCTCAAAGGCACTTCGTTACATTTGTAAGCACAATATGAATCACAGGTATGGCCTAAGACTTGCTCTCAGAATATTATTTTATCACTGAGGTGTAAGCTCTTATTAAACTTCTGAGCTTGGGGTCCTTTTAGCTCTCTCTAATTGTCAGTGTATTAGTTTGCACAAACCCAGCCACATTAAGCATGATAGTTCCTTGAAATCAGGTGAACAATGCCCATAAATGCACATTGAGCAATATATCTTAAAGATTAAATAGTTCCTAGTGAGATTTCTGACACAAGAATAGGTTTAATCCCTGCAAAGTTTGCTTGTGCTTGTGAAAAGGACTGGATTTTAAGCAATAAAAATTGCAGAGTATTTAGTAAGTTATAAAAGTTTAGGAAAGTTCATGTCACTTTGTTGACACCTGATTTCTTTGCCCCCTGATTTCTTTGCCCCCATGGCCTTCAGTTTTGAAACCTTTTTCAAATCAACCCAGTCTTTTCTTATGCTTTGTGACTTGAGTTATGGTTTGGTGTGGATAATCCTTCATGTCTAAACCGATTGAAAGCCTTTTTCAGTCTTTAGAGATGAACAAAGAAAGCTATTTTTTTAAAAAATTCAAAGTGGATGTATTTTACCAAATGAGGGAGAGGTTGTGATTAGATGTATGACTTTAAATTAACGATGGGCAAGATTTACTGAACTTTTTTAACAAAGCACTTAAGATTTATAACTGATGTTCAATACCATTATCGTTTATTTTTTCACTGAAGTATCGCAATAGCCTGCATTTTCTAGATGATTTTAGAAGATAGGTCATTTTTAAAGGGCCCTGTTTTGTATGGTTTGCAGCTGCTCTGGAATGCCAACTGATTTTTACTCTGTTGGATAATGACTTCCTTTAGTCTATTTCTTGCTATATTACAATAGTAGAAAATGATTTATAGTTGAGTTGTCCTAGTAAAATGCACATGCTAAGCCTAAGATGACTTTGGGCTTTGGTATTTTTTTTCCCTTGCTCAACATCACATTACTTTCATTGATGTATGTTTTATGTCTTTGCTGATGTTGTCACTGCTGTTCATTACTTCAAGATAGGTACAATAATAAGGGTACTTTTTTGTGAGTGTTTCATTGCATTGAGTGGAGACAGGAATGTAGTTTTGTATTTCACATGAACTTTTACCAAGCTAAAAATATAAAATGAGTCAACATTTTTGGTAGGAACTATTAGACATAAATGAAATTTAAAATTAAAGTTTTCCTAGTATGATGCATCTCTGATGACTTGCTTTTATATGAAGTTTTGTGCATGCCAAAGAGTCCATATTTTTAAAAGAAGTAAACTGATGACTCATTAGCCACTTGTACCAAAGAAATAACATTTTTGCAGCCTCTGATTTTTATTCACTGTCTTTTTGTCTTTAGTAATTTGGCACTGTCAAAGTCAAATGTCAGAGGACAGACGGGCATTGCAGAAGTGCGGTGTGTGTGTGTTTCAAAATTTTGATGATGTTTATGCAGTGATTCCTGGGCGTAATTAAATACAGGTTAATGCTGCCGAGGCCAACGTGTCGTTCAGAAATTCTACTTCAACCTTTGAAGCATTCATAATAGTTTTTATTTTATTAAAGAAAGTGTAAGTCCCATACATTCACTACATATTATTTATTGTTTCAATTTGAATTTTTCACTGAATTAAATTGTTTTAAGAATTGTATGTGTTCATTCTACATGTAACATAATATTTTAATAGGCATTTTTAATTGAGGTTTTAAGAAATATTTTCTTGTGGCTTTCACCTGTTCCTAATAATGATATATCTATAAAAATTCAATCACTTTTTGCATGTGTTTGAATTTCAAGTTCAGGTTGTCTGCATTTAGTGCATTTTTCAGCTAGAGAAAAGATTATATAGGCGACCAGCAGTAATTGTTTTGTTTTATTGCATTCCATTTTCACTGTGACACTATATGTTGTGGGTCAACTCAGGGATGCTGTTATTTTTTGGTCACTATTTCTGTTTTTTTCATCAGAATAGCAGTTATTATCCTAAGCATTTGTTTTCTCCATAACCCCATAAATAAGTTGTTTCTATTAACTGTCTATTTGTTTGCAAATGCAACTTCGTAAATTTTCAGGTATTTTCACAAAATACCAATTGCATCCCAGATCAATTGCATGCTGATTTCTTTGCTCAATATGTTTGGGAATCTGTTGCCATTTCTGTTTGTTGTATTTAGATTTCCATTCTTAGGTTTGTGTGTGGAAGAGAGCATTGCTCATGTTTAATCAACATCTCTTTCACTATTTTACATTTTTTTGACCTTTTGTCTCAATGATTCTTCATTCAACGTCTTTGGCAATCGCATAAATAGAAAATGTTGGGTTCTTTGAGTTAGGAATATGCCCTATTAATATTATTACACCAGTGACAGAGATAATAATAATAATAATAATAGTAATAGAGCATATCCCTGTAGGGCCCAGGGGCTTAAATATTTGTTGGGGCTTTTTTATGAAACAATAAAATTTCTGTGTGGGTGGTTAGCGGGGGCTTTGGTGTGATTTGCTCCTTTTTACCTATCAAATGTCTGTCGTCCTTATCTCTCCTTCCTTTTTTTGTGTTTGTTACGCTTTAGTAACACCTCTAGTCTTCGGCTTTTTATAACTTAATTTTGTTGCAAGTGCTCTAAAACTCTTACTAAAACAGTAAAAACTGTCATCATCATTGCCTTTTTCACCCTGGGTCAGGATATAAGCCATGAACAAACACTTTCCACCCTTCCCTATCCTGGGCGAGTTGCTTGATGTCACTCCATGTCTTCCCACTTTTCTGTGCATCCATTTCCGTGACTCTTCCCCAGTTTTCACGTTGTCTTCCCCTTAGTAAAAACTATAGTGTGTCATTATTTTTTAATTTGTTAAATGTATTGCCTAAGGTTGTATTGTGTTTTTTTCCCTCTTCTGTTGTCTGGTCTCCCGTCCTATAGTTGCCTGTCCAGTATTGTCCAGCCATTTTAATGAGTATCTTGGATATTTGCATACTATTCCAAATCGGTTTAGGGTCTTGAAAAATAACGTTTCCTTTCTCACGACGTTGCTTTGCCAAGTTGTGTTTTCTATTTAAAGTTTATGATGTGTGTAGAGCAATATATTTGTCTTTATTGCATGATGATTTTATGGTTTCATAGTTGTGTTATTTCTGGGGAGAGCTGGGGATGCCAAGCATGACCAGTGTAAATGTCCAGTTTTCTTCCATGTGTTCAAAGAGGAGCAATACTTTTGAACACAAGTGCTTTTATATTTTGCAGTACGATAGATCTTTTTAGAAGTAAACGTTTTTCTTCTGAACAGGATACATGTTTACACTAATAGTTGTTATTGTTCTTGGTAATTCCTTTGGAATTTCATTCTTGAGGATATTATTTTCAAAAGGGTAATTCAAAATTTTTAGTCGACCGATCATTATAGTCTTTTTGTGGCAAAAGGTTAGTTTGATTTTTGTCATGCATCCTTTTTTTACCTTCATTTTTTATCGCAAGGGCTCAGGGCATTCTAACAAAATTTAACAAACAATGCTTTTCATTGTGGTTCTCACACATCAAAAAGTATGACAAGAAGCATTGGTCTTAGTAGCATCTTGTGTCTTTTTCTAGATAAGTGAAAATTGTTACATGAATCTTGTCATATGGGTCTTGAAGGGTTATGGTACATATTGTGTTTTTTAGTGTTCGTTGGCAGTGGAGAATCCTTAGTTTGTTTTATCTCACCTTTTCTTTTCCCCCCTTCTTTTACCTAGCTCTGAACCATTTTAGGAGTGAGAGGTTACTGTTAATCATGTTTGGAAGGTACCAGAGTCTTTCATATGTCCTTTTGTGTTTTGAATGAAATGATACAAGATTTTGTTTCTTCATATTGTGTCCATGGAATTTTGAATGATTGCAATGTAACATATAAACTCATTGTGTTTGAAGAGGTGCTTTTTTTGGACAAAATTGTCATTTAAAGGTCAAGAGGAGCCAATTTTATGATGTCAATGTTCAGGTGGCCATATGCACCATAATCTAGCAGCTTGCCATTTGATCAATGGGCGAGAAGCCATATTCAATTCACCACTTGGTGTAACATTCAGTACCTAGTCTGTTTCTTATCAGAAAGTTTGAGGCATTTTTTCTTCTCTGAAAGTTCTTGAATAAATTTATTATGGCAATGGTTGGTGGACAATGAGCCCGAATGCAGACCTGAGCATTGAAAGGTTTTGACGCTCTGAGATTATTTTGTAGAAGAGAGCTGTGAATTGAATGCCAATCTCAGATAGGAACAAACCAAGGATATAGAAAGAAAAAACCTTTGTATACTAGAACATTCCTTCAGGGGTTTGAACCAGGGTCAAACGCTCCACAGTTTAGAATAATACTGACTTAGTAATATGCGCTTCTTTAAAGTAAAGGGTTCTTTATATGGAAGTTTTTGGTCACGAGCTCAGGTGTCAGGCAGAGGCTCAAAGTGTTAAACTTCTTTGACTTAGGCTACCAGACTTTTAAGTGTGCCTTACTTTGACAAATACATGGTATTGTGTTGCTCTTGCGTAATACTGGAAGTGTACAATATAATTTAATCTTTTCTTTTTCATTGTACATGCCACTGTTTGTGTGTGCTGTATGTGCAAACTCTAGCAAAGAATCAATATATAACAAATAGGGAAAATAATTCTTTTTCTCTTTATCACAGCCGTGTTGGTGTTTGTTTGATGTGCTTGCCTTGGACGTGCAAATGTAGAAAACTATGTGTCTTTTAATGTTGCTGCTGATATTGCTCTTGTTGTTTCTTTTACCGCTGCTGTTTTATTGTTGTTAATAATGAAATTAAAGTGGCATATTATGTATAATATCAATATATTGGCCTGTTTAAAATTTACTTTTTTCCTTCTATTTAATATCCATTTATGACAATTTGCACAAAGGAAATTTTTTTTTTCTTTTTCATATTCATCTATGATAATTAGCAAAATGAAAAATTATTTTTCTTCCTGATAAGAAGTATGACTGTGTGCAATATTGTCTACGACCCCTGTACTCCCATGTATTCATGTCTCCTGCCTGCACAAGACTCACTTTGTTTTTCTCACAGTGAGTGTTTGAAAGAAATAAGCCATGACGTTTTTTCTATTAAAGTGTTGTGCAACAATATGCTTGAATTTATCTTCGTTTCTCGTTCATTACTTTCATTTTCTTTTTTAATATACATGTGTCTTTTATATGTTCAGTGTTGGTAGTAAGCTAACATACCTTGTTGTATTGCCATACAATTTATACTGTCTCTGGTTTTTGGTTTTAAGTTACTGGATAATCATTTATTTCACAACACTGTGGAATTAGGCATTTGTCAATTTTTGGACATGTAGACTTATTGACATATTCTTAATGTCTGTTTTTTTGCCTTGCTTTTGTTAAAAAAACAAAAAACACTTCTACCGTGAATAGAAGTCGAGATATTTGCTATTTTAAGAAGTGGGGACCACCCGGTGACAGAGGTAAAGTTATTGAGAAAATGACCATCAGAATTTCGTGACTTCCAAAACCATAGAATCCTTGGAAACTGCAAATGTATCTTTTTGTGTGCCTTTGCCCAACGTTATTCAGTAAAATCCATGCAGGAATAAGTTTTAAATGGACATAATAGATATTGAGCCTAAACCCCAAAAAACCCCCGATAGAAATGGCTTATGGGTGGAAAAATATTGGTTCTTCGATTTCATTATTTTGATGAACACCTGATTTCACCATGATGCCACCCATTTAGCTCAAAATTGTTTCAGATATTTGGTTCCTTTTGCGGCGCATCTGTTGTTTCTGTGGTGTAATGGTTAAATACAAATAAAATAACTATGATTCTACTTTAATTAATCCGAATTTGGTTTACAAGGACTTTCATACATGAATACAATAATTCATCACTATTATACAAGCCTTGGTTTACATGTCTTGCTTTGGGACACACCCGAGTGACCATTCAGCGGAATGTTGTCACAAACATATGCTTGACATTATTGTGAGCCTGGGCTCCCTTCCAATTTGTTCATTGGCAATTGTGTACTGACATCTGTACTGTAGTGGCTGTGCTCTTTGTCATTGCGTGCCAAAGATGTGAATTCAATTGCCTCATTCCTTGCCAGCCTAAGGGGTATTATTCTTCATGTTTTCTGCACCTCGCCCCTGCCCGCCCCCGATTCTAAGGTAGAAGGTACGATAGAGTTTACCAAGTCAGAGGTTGGGTGTGGAAGTCTCTCACTTTGATTAAAGATGATTCGGCGGTGTGAAAACCAAAAAGAGTAAAAGAGTATCCCAGATATTCAAAGTCGATTGTTATTCAAAAGTGATGTCCCTCTTGTCGGTATAAACGTTAAGAGTACTTTATAAAACGGCACGTGACTGCCTGCCTGTAAAGGGATGACTCTACGTTCTATGTACAAAAACAACCTTGTACGTGAAAAGCAACTGCTCCCGTGGGAAGATCTTAGCCAGTTGATCTCGAGCAGGGATACACAGAAGAAGAAGATAGAGTTTAAGGGGTAACTGACTGTAAGATTTTAACAGCATTAATTTGTAACACATATAGGCCATATAAGAGCCGAAAATTCAAGGTATTGTTAGAGAGAAAAACATACAAAAAAGAAGGAAGAGAGATAGGAACGGTAGATGTTTGATAGGAAAGAAGGAGGAGAGATAAGGACGATAGATGTTTGATAGGAAAAAAGGAGGAGAGATAAGGACGATAGATGTTTGATAGGAAAGAAGGAGGAGAGATAAGGACGATAGATGTTTGATAGGAAAGAAGGAGGAGAGATAGGAACGGTAGGTGTTTGATAGGAAAGAAGGAGGAGAGATAGGAACGGTAGATGTTTGATAGGAAAGAAGGAAGAGAGATAGGAACGGTAGATGTTTGATGGGAAAGAAGGAAGAGAGATAGGAACGGTAGATGTTTGATGGGAAAGAAGGAAGAGAGATAGGAACGGTAGATGTTTGATAGGAAAGAAGGAAGAGAGATAGGAACGGTAGATGTTTGATAGGAAAGGAGGAGCAAACCACATCAGGGTTCCTGCTAACCACACACGTATTAATCAAATATTAGCGGTTAAAGTAAGCGTAAGTGTACGGGCTTAACGCCTCTACTACACTATTCATTTTGTATGGGACCTCCTAATGTAACGTCCGCCTCCGATAGGACCGAGCCAGATGGGTCGGGTTTAGAGCCTTGAAAACTCCACAAAACGCCCAGTCTGGGATTCGAACTATGGCCACCCGCTCCCTTCCCCAGCATAATACCAACTGAGCTAACGAAACGCCTTCACCGGTAAGCTTCAGAAGAGAAACTGTATCTGTTTAATACTTGTGGGCCACACTTCGCTGCAGTAACATTATTACCTGTCTTGACCCCACAGAATTCTACACTTATAGAACGGGAACTGTACCACGTGACCTGTGAGGAATTGAAGACCGAAAACAATGGCGTCTTGAGGGCACGATTTATCGTTTTCGGAAGTAACCCTATAGCTTTTAAAGCAAGAGCGGCTTTTACAAACGAGTGAAAAGTGGAACATTTACTGTCCAGTTTGTAATTTTGAGTTACAGAATTCACTGTGCAACTAGAGATTGGAATTAAGGTTTTAAATTGTTGTGTTTTGGAGTGCAACAACAGAAAAAGCAGACATAGAGAGTTTAAATATATAAGATCTACAGAACTGAAAAAAATGCGTAACACGATGGGATTGTTCACAGCACTTCTAGCTTCCCACACACATTTTGCATACGCATATGGCCTACGTAATTTTTTAGGAGCAAAACTTGTTACAAGAAATTTGTTTTACACTGAACATATTTTTTCACTAGATCTAATTAATGTTCTCAAAACATGCGTTCAATAATTAGCTTTATGTCGCCAGCAGAAGTAGAAAAAAGGACGGACTTGCTTTTAAAAGAGATTTAGCTCCAGCTATAAACTTTTTAAAAATCTGTAGAAACCATTGACTGGGATTTTTTTTTAAATATTGGGAAAATGACTTTGAACATAATATTCAGGAAACATATGCCAGTTCCACTCTTGTTTACTTTGTTTTGCATTATTGGCTTTTATGTGTAAAACAATATTTTGAGGCCTTTTCTGCATTTTTGTGTTTTTGGCAGCATGTACAATAGGCCTATGTATTTTATGTGCAACCGACACATTGTCCAATCGTAGATCAGATCTAGTACTAATCAAGACTATATCTAGATATTTTTCCAACAGAGTTAATGTTCATAATTAGTGTTATTATCAAGTGTATTGTAATTGTGAAGATCTTTAGTAGATCTAGATCTAGTAGTAGATCTAGAGATCTAGATCTATCTAGATCTAGATCCCATCACATCATTTTAAAAAAACAACAACAAACCAACAATACAGATACAAAAACATTGTAACATTGCCAATTATGACACATTGTTGGCAGTAAAAAATGTACTAGACTATTTCACTATATTTCTTCTTCGAAGAAAGTTTTAAAATACTGATGTAAGGTGTCTTCCTAGCCCTACCACTAGCATCAGCGTGCATAGCAACGCGAAGCCTCGCTGTGCGGCGCAGCCAAAGGTGCCCTCAACTGGCCGCCATGTTTTAGTTTCAATTCCTCACAGCGAATCGGCGATCGCGAAGAGGGAGTTCCGCTTCTATAAGTGTAGAATTCTGTGCTTGACCCACGAGGTTTTCAGATTCTCTCAATGTGGAGAGGCGCAGGTTCGATGACGTAGGCCATGTTTCTTTGAACTTCTGTCCCCAAATGATCAACAGGTATCAAAATGTCGAAATAACACGAAATAAAGGCCCATTCTATCGGAGTGAAATACAAAGTAAATCCATCAAAGACGTCCAACACCTTTCTTGTGTCTGTTGGGGGAAGGAAGGAAAGACAAATGAGTTCCTTGTCTCCCCTCCGCACGAGTTGTGCCGCCATTTTTTGTGTTCACAGCTGCCAATGATTGGCCCAGCCCTATTCTATTGTCACTAGGGCTAGGTCTTGTTAGCTGGAGCCAATAGAGCGGACATGTTGTATTGGTTTATGGGGGCAAATAGAGGAGGTCGTGGAACGCGAAAAAGGTGACTTAAGCCTACACCGATGGTTACAAAGTTGGCGAGCAATAGAGAAAGGAATGGGCTGAATCCAGAGATACATGTTTGATATTAAAAGTGGGCTTATGCTTGAGGTGGGCTGTATTGTTGTGTTGATAAAAAGAGTGCAATTTAACTCTCTCTCTCTCTCTCTCTCTCTCTCTCTCTCTCTCTCTCTCTCTCTCTCTCTCTCTCTCTCTCTCTCTCTCTCTCTCTCTCTCTCTCTCTCCTCTCCCCTCTCTTTCCCTTTTTTGTCTCTTTCAGTTTCTCTCTTGAGTGGTTGGCAGTCGCTTTGGTGTGACTTACTCTTTTTTTTTTCTACCAAACGTCTATCGCTTTTACCTCTCCTCAATCATTTTTTTGTTGTTGTATTGTTTTGCGCTTTAGTAACACATCTAACCTTCAGACCTGTTCGTGTTGCAAGTCCCGTAAAACTCATAATACAAGGAAAAAAAATGGTTATCACCCTGCCTCTCTACCAATAATCCCACCTCGTCTCTGCTCTGTCTCTTTCTCATTCCCTGTCTCCCTGTCTCACCTTCCGTCCCTAGCCCCCCCCCCCTCCCCCTCGTTGTCATACTCTTTCATTGTGTAAAATGTGTTTGAGTGTGGAAGAAGGGAAAGGATAATTTTGTTTTGTTTTGGGGAGGGGGGGGGGGCGATGCTGCTTCTTTACGCTGTTTGCGAGACGGATCTTTAGAGCAGATTTATCGTAATGAACGTAAGTCTAAAAGAAATGTGTGTTCATATCAACTTCAAAAAGATATTAAGATGGGGTGCATACATGTCTGGCTGCCAACTTGAAACTGAGCGGTCTCACCTCAGCATTACGAAACTTGGCATTACGTTAATCGATCTTTTGTATCTCTACGTTCATGGCGTCCTGGGGTCGTTACCCCCGAACTCATCCCAAGGTTTGTTTCTTCTGGCTGGTAATATTCACTTTATTTCAGGTTATTGGCCTGGTCTTTTTATTTTGCCGACACACACACACACACACACACACACACACACACAGAGAGATTTTAAAAAAAAGAGAGAGAGAAAG